TTTGGATTGTTTTGTTAATCAATCGTGCTTCAATCACGCCAGAACATTGTTTCGGCAAAGCCGCTTTTACCAAAAAGCATCATCAACTTTGGTATTTCAAATCAGACACCCTATACATAGTGTTATTTCGATTGCAATTTATTCCTTAAAGATTTTCTCCATTGTTTTCCTTTGCCCATCTCTAACTGTTCTCGAGTAGTCATTTTTCATTTCTTTCATTCAAAACTTAGTTCTAATTTAATGTTTATAACTGCAATATTTGTAATCGTAAAAACTTTTTTAAAATAGTCCAGTCTATGTGCTATCAAATAACCTGAAGAACTATCAAAATTCATTTCAAATTGCCCTACATATTTACATATACAGTAGGAACGTAGAAATCCTGAACGGTTTTATATCCGGAACTTTGTCAAGTTCCGAAGATAAAAGCAAATTTTTGTAAAAATCGGAAAGTTTTGAATTGAACGGTCGTCCTTTTGAGCATTACATACAAGGCATACTTAAATACTTTTAGGCATTCCCGATTTTGTCTTTTGGCTGTCTTTCAGACTATTCGATAATATGTAGGGTATTCTAATTAAAAAAGTAGTAAAGCTATGTTTTGGTTGTAAAAAAATTGGGAAATAACTAATTACTCGGAAACCGTTAGAGATGGATATAACAAAGTATAAAATAACAAGATTTGGAAACTAGTTGCGAATCTAAAAACAGTAATATATACAGGGTGACTCGTTTAAAATAGCGAAGTCGTTGCTACGTTTTGGTATAAACGCTGCGTTGCTGAAAATATTTTAAATTGTTAGACTTCGAGTAGCCAACTTTTCAGAACAATCCCAAGTCGCCTTTTTCATATGCGTCTAACGAGGCATCAACCGTGAGCAACCCTGTATACTGATAATCTGCCGAATTACCATTGATAACTTTAAGTATTGCTTAAAAGCAAAGTTGAAAATGCATCATCATCATTGTGCAGCTAATATCTTCGGGAAATACACTATTTTGTTCCGCCCAGTAACTCATTTAAAATAAAAACACCAATTTTGAATCTCCTTGTATATATCGCATAGAAGTGGTCGAATTAGAATTTTACAACTCAAAAAAATCCCAGGTCTCACTGCTTATGATTTTAAAAATGACATAGAAAAATCAAAATAAACATTAATCGAACAGACATTCGTTTGTAAAAAAATTGTTAAACATTGCTTGAATAATTTTTCAACCACCGGGGGCACATACTTATTCAAACACTTTGTGGTTTTATTGTCCACCTACCAATCAGAATTAATGAGTTTGAGTATTTTCTGCTAATTCTTTCAGTAGAGACGCAAATGAACGCGTGACCTTAAGGAAGTTTATTGTTGCTTTAGCTTTGCCCTAATTGATAAAGCGTGATGATGCTTAAATAAGCATAGACAATGTAAACACCGAATGCTGTCTTGTGCTTTTAACCGCTAATATTGAAATAAATATATCAAAAACATTGTTTCAGATACTACACTGCTACGGTGGAAGACGACTCTTCCGTTCAGCATATTTACTCCGTTTCCCCTGTGTACAAGAACCGAACGTGTATTAGTTGTTCTTTGAAATCGAAAAATGGTGGCAATAATTGTTTGTACAACACTGGGGAACTCAGCACTGATGCCAGCCATTTGGTGTTCACTTGCAGTGGTCCTGATGTACCACACATTGCAATTCACTCTGTAGATGGAACGGAAAAGCTACTGTGGTCTGGAAATGAGGATTTGGTGGGTTTGTTGCAAGGGAAAACCTTACATGGGAAAGTGAAACTTGAGTATGATATAGCTGATGGGTTTACCGGTAGAGTTCTTTTGAAATTGCCTCCTAATCTGGACACGAGCGGAAACACTAAATACCCCATGCTAGTAAATGTGTAAGTTTCACTCATTTTTTCGAAATCAGGTGTTGATTTTGTATGATTTTTTAGGTATGGCGGCCCAGACACATACCAGGTAACAGATAAATATAGCATCGATTGGGGCAGTTACTTAGCAGCCAATAAAAGTATTATTTACGCAACAATTGATGGTCGAGGATCAGGACTGCGCGGTAATAATCTTCTCTATGCAGGATATAGAAAATTGGGTACTGTAGAAGTGATTGACCAGATAAATATTACGAAGTAAGTACAACCTATTGGAGTCCTTTTTCAGATGCTTATTGCATTTTTCCCACCAAACCCCTAACTTTTTTTATAATTTTTTTCCATGTGTGCAGAGTTTTCTTTAATGAGGTGCGTGTAATTTTTGCGATAAATGGTACTTGGCTTTAACAACTTTGATAAACCAAGAACATGCAAATTAAGGAAACACGTTGCGATATTTCGGTAATAAGTATTTAGTATGCAGTTAGTTAGGTATCATCATAATTTCTTACAAACTTCTTTTTGTGTATTTTGCCTCAAAAATTTTTGTCTAAAAAAGACAGAATTTCCTCACGTCTTTTATTACAGATTGATAAATAGTGCTCCTATTTCGCAATAAGAACGAATT